AGGGTCAATTAAACAAGAATGCATCAGAAGTCTAAACTTATGTACATGTAATAATTAACATACCTTCAAAATACACCAAGCAAAATTGGAGAAAGGAGAAGCAGGCAATCTGCCATCATACTTGAAGATGTTAACATATATATCTCAGTAAGTAATAGAATAATCAGGCAAAATATCAGTCTGGAAAGACAATGTTTGGACAGCATTATCTACCAATATGACTTAATTGAAATTTAGAGAATGTTACACCAATCAATTGCTCCTTTTCAAATGTGTATGGAACATCATCTAAAATAGAGCATATGAAGGGCCATAAAGTAAGCCTCAGTAAATTTCAAAGGAACAAAATTGTAAAGAGTATATTCTTTGACTATAATAGAATTAAACTTGAAACCAATAATAGAATATAATTGGAAAATCCACAAATGCTGAAAATTGAGCAATACACTTTTATAGAATTAACAGATCAAAGAAAAGTCTCAAAGGATATTAGTAAACATTTCAATTAAACAAAATGAAAATATGACACATCAAAAATTGTGAGCTGCAACTAAATTAATTCTCAGAGGAAAATTTATAATTTTCAAACATTATGTTAAAATAGTGAACATAAGGCAATGACAGCTCTTCAGTCAGTGTAACAGAAAAATGATTGAAGAAAAGTGAACAGAGACTAGGGGTCCTGTGGGACGCCATCAAATGGACCAACATGCCTATTGTGAGAGTTCCAGAAAAAGAAAAAAGGGATAGAAAGAATATTTAAAGAAATAATTGTTTAAACTTCCCAAATTTGATGAAAGACATTAATATAAATATCCAAAAAGGTTAATGAATTCCAAGTAAGATGAACTCAGAGACCCATAATGAAACATGCTATAATCAAACTTTTAAAAGCCAAAGAGAGAATCCTGAAAGCAGCAAGAGAGGTGACTCCTGACATAGAAGGAATCCTTAGTGAGATTATCAACAGATTTCTCTGATTAAAACTATGCAAGCCAAAAGATAGCAGGCTGATAAACTCAAACAAACAAACAAACAGCTTCTTGGGAGGCTGAGGATGCAGGAGGATCACTTGAGCCCACTATGATCAAGCCACTGCATTCCAACCTGGACAACAGAGCAAGACCCTGTCTCTTAAAAAAAAAAAAAAAAAAAAAAAAAAAAGGTTGGGGGGCGTTGCTGGGCAGAGTGGCTCACGCCTATAATCCCAGCACTTTGGGAGGCTGAGGTGGGCAGATCACCTAAAGTCAGGAGTTCGAGACCAGCCTGGCCAACATGGTGAAATCTCACCTCTACTAAAAACACAAAATTTAGATGGGCATGGTGGCACACACCTGTAATCCCAGCTACTCAGAAGGCTGAGGCAGAAGAATCGCTTGAACCTGGGAGGTGGAGTTTGCAGTGAGCTGAGATTGCGCCACTGCACTCCAGCCAGAGAGACCTTGTCTTAAGAAAAAAAACAAAAAAGGAAAGAAAGAGAAAAGAAAATTGTAAGGAAGAGAAAATATACCTCTTACTATTCATTAAGTGGAAGTAGATCAGCCTAAAGGTCTTCATCCTTGTCATTTTTATTTTCGTGTAGACTGAGGAGGAGGAGAAAGAGGAGGGGTTGGCAGGCAGCATAACACAAAGTATATCTGACATAAACAGTGAATGGTTCTAGTTAGAACACAGACCAAGGAAGAAAAGGCCACAAAAGTAGTTTGAGGGCCAAATGGTAGAAGGCTGAAAGAGCTAGGTTAAAAAGTGAGATATTATTTCATGAGTGGTAGATGGATAGGTGTGAGGGCTGTCACTGAAGGTTTTTTTGTTTTGTTTTAACTGGAGAAATGATGAGAATTAGGCTCCAGGAAAATTGGTGAGGGACTATTTCTATAGACCAAACAAGGAGTTAAGAAACTCTGAGCTACTATAATGATAGTAGGAACAGAAAGGAGTAGAGTGATGAAAGATACAGCAAAGATAGAAATAGGATTTGACAACTGGATAAGAGGGCAATGACAGAGTCAAAGATAAGTCTGGGATTTCTCAGTGACAAGACGGTTGCAGTGTCAGTAATAGAAACAGGAAATGCAGAAAACAGTATGAAGTGGATTGGAAAATGAGTTTATCACTCTTAGCTATTGCTATTATAGCATATACGACTACATTAGAAATGTGGTCCTAAGATAAGTGGAAAGCAATTTTTTTTGTTTGTTTTGGAGACGAACTCTTGCTCTGACGCCAGGCTAGAGTGCTGGAGTGCAGTGGCGCAATCTGGGCTCACTGCAACCTCTGCCTCCTGGGTTCAAGCGATTCTCCTGTCTCAGCCTTCCAAGCAGCTGGGACTACAGGTGCACGCCACCACGCGCGGCTAATTTTTGTATTTTTAGTAGAGACGGGGTTTCATCATGTTGGCCAGGACGGTCTCAATCTCTTGACCTTGTGATCCACCTGCCTCAACCTCCCAAAGTGTTGGGATTACAGGCGTCAGCCAAGATGCCCCGCCGGAAAGCAATTATTTTTATAAAATACGATTTAAAATGTGTCTGCCATTCAATGTCACTGAATCCTCAATCACTATATTTTTTTCCTTTTCTCTCAGTCGCCCTTTTGTTCCCTACCCTGCTCCCCTACTTCACTTCCTTCCAGGGTGTTTAGCAACTCCAGAATACAGCATTCACATTCCAAAGAGGGTGCCAAGCCGCAGAACCTCCTGCTGTTGTGCAATGTGGAGACCTTGCTTCATTCTCTATCCATCATGAACCCGTAGGGCATGGTTTCAACTACTCCCTAATTACTACTCTTATATTCTGAAATTAGAAAGAAACTATATACGTTTTTACAGGTGTGGGCATTCTCTATCATTGGTAACTTTTGAAAAACACTAAAAACGCACCTATCCAAGGTACAAAGGCAGGATGACAACCTAGGTTTCTTTCCATTTTAACGAATCTCCAAATTCCAGCATTCTTAGTTCTTTCTTTCAACTTATTCAATGAGACATAACAGATGCGTAGTATACAGATAGATATTAAGTGCACAGCTTGATGCACCAAGTATTGGCCCACAATGCCATTAAATCAGATATAAATACAAAAGGATAAAGGATAGGAAAACACCCTATAGATTACAGAAGAAATCATAATGAAAAAATGTGTAAACCTAAAACTGAACAACAAACTATACAATGCAAGACAAAACAGAAATGTACTTGCAAATTTTTAACATTAAATACTGCCTATTAGAAAATAAGGCCAAAGATCATTGAGCCGAAGAACCAAGTTAACGAATCCTGCTGCCTGATATTGCTCATTATATATCTATGTTTTTTAAGACTGGTATTGGTGAAAAGACAGGAAACATAGATCAATGGAAAAGAATAGTCCAGAAATAGACCTGTACACATACGATCAACTGATTTTTGACAAAGCAGCAAAGGCAATTCAGTGGAGAAAGGATAGTCTTTATACCCATGTAGCCGTCATCAAGATCAGGACACAAAATTTTAGTATTTTTTAATTATTAAATGTACTTCTTCTGATAAGCATTTTTGTTTTATTTTATACATGCTATATGCCATATCACCTTAGAAAGAATTCAGAATGAATATGTTATAAAGTTAAGTGAAACTTGGGAGTTTTATTCAAAGGCCATTTCTTTCTTCTTCCCAGCAATATGACTTTTGGCATGTCACCTAATTTCTCATTATCTCTTTTTATTTTCTTTCCTTTTTTTCTTTTTAAACTATTTTCTAAGGTCTTCCCTGCCTCCTTTCTCTAAGGTGTTTGCGAGAATGAAGTGCTGAGTAGAGTCAGCAACAAAATTTGAGGGGACTATCTATGGAAATGTTCTATGTCTAGATGTGATGGTGGTGGTGACTTCACAGCTACAAACATTTGTCAAAATTAATCTATGTGTACTTTAAATGAATGCAGTTTATTATACATAAATTATATCCCAGTAAATAGATCAAAAAACCAAAAAAGGATACTATTGAGCCACATCATGAGTGTTAAGTAATTGTTAATTTGTTCCTCCATCCCCTTCCCTTTTCATACTCACCAGAGAAGAAAAATACCCGGGGGCACTATTCCCCATACGAAAAGCCCTAAAAAATTCCTGAGATAATTATGAGGTTATTTCTCTCTGCCTCCTCTCCTCCATACTACAACCCAATAACTTTAACTTTTCCTATGAATTTTCCTTTTCTATCCTTTTTATGCAGCCAGATCTTGATTCTAGATTCTGTACTATGCTATAGATCTAGATTCTATACTTCTCATTTCAGTTGAAGAACGAAAAAGAGTAATTCACATGCATTACAAAATACCTTGAGATCATCAGGTGTTAGTGCCACAGTATATGGCAGTACTATGATGTTAACTCATACACTGAAAGAGGCTTATTATATACACTTAAATCCTGTTCAACCAAACTCATAGGAAGCTGGCTACAGAAGTACTATTTTGAAGTTTTTTGTTGGTCCCTATACACCCACAGTGAGTTATATTATTTTAAAACAATAGTGGCTAAGACACCCTTCGTTTTTATTGGCTAGCACCATTAGAAAAACTTAACTCTTCTTTTGCTTTTAATATATAAAGTGTAAGTTTTGGTACCAACTCAGTTATCATGTGTTTATGTTTTATAAACTCAAAATAAAGTATCTCATATTGGATTTTTTGGATTAGTGAATTCCCTAGCTGTTTTGCCAATATTAAGCATAGGCTGCCTTCCTTAAATTGCTAAAATCAGAGTTCAGTAAAAGAAATTATTTTTTAAAAAAATATATCTAGGCCAGAAACTACTGTTACCAATTTTCAAAACAAACACCTTGACTAGTGAGATTTTTATGTGCTATTTTGTTTTGTTTTAAAAGGATAATTTTACCTAAATATGAAGAATATGTCTCACAGTTTTTCATCTTACATTTTTTGTTTACTCTTTACCACTTCTGAAAGAAGTTAGTAGATAATAAAAAATCAAGTTAACATCTCCCCCAAGTCCATTTCACTCACCTACAAAATGGGCTGGGAATAGTAGGTATCACATAACAAATCCCCCCATTCAGGCAAAATGACTTGTGACTGGGACCACAGGGCTCTTCGTGATCTAAAGCACATATATATATATATAAAAAACAGAGAAAAGCAAATTAAAGTTTTCCTAATGCAACCAGGAATAGAAATCACTATCTTAAACTGAAGCAGCAATTCTGAAAATCAGAATGAAGAATTTTTTTCTCATAATGAAAGACTTAATCCTATTCCTTATTTGACAGACTTCTGGGACTTCTAAGTCTTTGAGAAAAAAATTATGTTCTAAAAATATGGCCATTAGCTATAATGGATTTAGACACTATATAACAGAAATAAGGAATATATTTATTAGTTAGACTAAAAGGAAGTGATTAGGATCTTAGAACAAAGAGGGCATTTCTCACTTGCTACAGAGATATGGCAGTATTACCTAGAGTTCCCCTGTCGAGAATTTAGATTCTTATTTTTCCTATTAGGTCTCAAATACATTAATATCTGAAACTATGGCTGGTAAAGGATTTTGATAATTAACTTTTTGTTTCCAAAATTAACTTTAAATGTTCCTATATGACAATCTAAATGTCAGAAACCAAAAATAATCTTATAAGATTTTAGGTAACAGCTACTAAATATAAAGATATACCTAAAGTTACAAAGAAAAACTAAAAACATAAGTCATAGCTTGATATACAGCCGAATCTTTCAGAATATTAAGAAAATAAACCTCCACTTCTCTCTTATTCTCTCTCCTTCCTCTTTCTTCAGCCCCAACGTCTTTATCTTTGACCCTTCCTTTATCTTTATCTCTCTGCCTTCTCTTTCTCCCTTGGTACTTCTCCTTCCTTGCAGCCTCACACCCCTAAGACCTTTTATAAAAAATCCCTGGCTACATTGTATCGAAAAAATTAGACAGAATAACAGAAGGATTCATTGAGTCATTATACTAGTAATTTATGATTAGAAGAGAAAATTGCTGAATATTTTATCTTTCAGCTTTAAAGGGGAAATTATATTGCGTTACAATTGTACATTGTTAGTTTCTGATTGTTTCTGTCTAGGAAATGACCCAGAATCATCTAACGGGAGGAAGAAAATGGCATTACTCCATTGGGACTCCAATTTGGCATTAAAACTAGTATATTAATTTAAAAAATCATCTAGCATTTATGTGCCACTAAAATATCAATACTTGCTAAGATATAATGGCTATGAGTCAGATATCTCCACAATCAGAATTTCAAATTTTAAAACTTTTGTTCTACTTTAGAATTGAGAAAATCGTGTTTCAGCATCACATTATAAGAGTATAAAAATGTAAAGAGGAAATCAGAACTACAGAGAACTGGTAAAATAGAAAGTAAAATCAACCAAAATGAATTTTTAGATTTTTTTCTTTTTTACATAATGCCATGCTTCTCTCTAAAGAAACAACTTTCAACAAGGTTATAAAAATTTTCCAGAATAATTTGGCTAAAAAATAATATTTACACTACATTACATTAGATTACATCAGCATCATGGGAGTCATCATATATGATTTTCCACTGAGGGTGGAATGTAACTTTATTGCACTAAAATTAATGTCCTTGTTTTAATCACATTATAATCAGACATATCTCAACATCTGGTGTTTATTTTATCAGCAAAGAAAACTAACCTGAATCACTGTTTCTGAACCTACTTTTATTCTGACTTCTATTTCCTTATTATTTGAGTTGACTTCAGGTATAGAATAAGCTAGAATTCATCAGGTAGTAAAACCAATAAAATATATAAACCTAAATAAAAGAGTTTTATGTCATAAAGGAAGGTCTCTAAAAACCAAATATTTCATATTTGAAATATTTCATATTCACATCTCTTCCAATGATGTTGGAAGAGAATAATACAGCCTTGTGTTAATACACATTTTTGGTTGTTGTTCTATTGCTGTTGACACATTGAAAAAATATATAAATATATAAGAAATTACCTGTTGGCATCTTAATTTTTAAATAGTTTCATTCTTGGTCAAGAGATTAGGGTTAAAAAACAGCACCTAAAAAATTCAGGGAAAATTGTCTTCTTTTAAGGGCATTATAAAATGTCAAATATTCTAATAGCAATATTTTTAAATGTTGAAAAGATATATAGTAGGGACAAATTTTAGTTACAGCATTTTTAGATACCTACTACAGTACATATCAAAAAATATAAACAAGTAAAATTAAAAGATCTATATTAAATAATATAAGTGTACTTAATATAAATCATTGCCTAAATAATATAATTTAATCTTAAACATCTCTCTGCAAAAAAGTCTAATAAGGCTTATTTTTAGTAAACATTATTAATGTAGTAGAGTGCTATATGGAATTTTACATGAAAGATATGAGACAGTAAATAAAACTGAATGAACTGAACTGACTTTTTGCTTTTTCACAAAGCTTATTTACAATCTGACTCTTAAGCAGAATCAATAACTTCCACTTTTTCAATTTATTGAAAATGGCCAAAATGTACCATAGAAAAATCTTTAATTGCATTTCAAGTTTTTGCACTTCTATAGAACCTTTAAAACTTTTACAAAACCACTTTTAAGTTTACCATAGATTGCACATTACGTTTACCTATCTGTGCAAACCTTTCTTTTAAAAAATGTCCACGGCTGATAGGGGCAGCAAACCACCATTATATGCATTTACCTATGTAACAAACCTGCATGTCCTGCACATGTATTCCAGAACTTAAAATAAATTAAAAAAAAAAAAAAAGAAAGAAAATATTAACCACACACACACACACACACACACACACACAAAATATCTGGCATCTGGCAAAGCAGTGTAGCTAATAAGACATAATTATATATGAAGTTTCCTGTTATAACAGAAACAAAGGAATTAAAACATATATTTGAAGAGGTGAAGCATTTATACTTACAGTATGATTATAAGCTTTCAATTCTGTTCTGTGAAGAACAATTACTCCTGACCTAAACAGAAAGACTAACAGAAATCTCAATCTGCTAACACAGTTGTAATATCAAGGTCTCTCTCAAAGCCAGTTGCTCTTAGACAAGCAGAGAGGCAGAGAGAGCAAGCGAGCAACGGATCAAGAGAGAGCACACACAAGCGAGAACAGGCAGGACGGAGAACATTAAATCTATCTGATTTTTAAAAATCACTGGCTCATACTGTTCCTTTTTTCCAAACAAATAGGACTTACCCTCAATAAAAACTTACATTCACACAAAAAATAAATTTTGTTGGACATGCAGTGTTTCAAAAGTTTTTGAATATTGCAGATAATGGGAGCTGTGACTTGCATTTTATAACATGTCAAAAATCTGATTTATATGGCTGCAGTGTACAGTGTCGGTGAGGTCACGCCAGACCAAGGTGTGAACGGAGGTCAGGCACTGGCCAAGGGAAACGCCCCTTCAGTTTACGTGTTCAGAGTTGCAGATGGAGCAGAATTTTATTTAGAAAAGGAGTTGTACTAAGCTGCACTTCCAAATCACTGTCCAAGTTTTAAAGGTAAAAAACAAACCACATTCTTTAGACTCCTTACTTATCTTTGCTTGTCTGAATAATTCAGGACATTGTGTAAGTTTGGGAGAAAGAAAGTTTGAATGTGGAGCTAATGGATAAGTGTTTCACAATTAAAAAAAATATTTTATAGACTATTTTTGAAAAATATTTTCAATAACTTCCACTTTTTCAATTTATTGAAAATGGCCAAATTTTAAAAAATCTTTTAAAATTTGTGTTTTATGAGGTTTGTGTTTCCTTACAAGCCAGATAAAATTCATATAAATAATGTCCTAAAGAACTTATACAGCTAAAAGAAGGTAATAGCTATAATAGAACTTATAACACCAAGTTCAATTTGAAATGAATAAAGCAATTAAACTTGACTAATACTGATAACAATGTAATGCCTGAATACTACAGCAAAGTTGTTAAATATACACTAAGGAAAGTTTACTTTTAAAAATCATAAACAATTTTAAAATATTAACTTAAACTGTAATTTTGTTTAAATGAAGTAGAGTTCTTCATCATATAGTTACCTAAAGTATGTCAAACATTTAGACAGTTATCTTTCCTAAAATGACAATTCAGACATTGCTACTTGATTGATGTAAAACCCAAACTAATATATTTGTTTTGTTGTTTTAAGGACATATTAAAATAAACTCATAATCAAATTCTCTAAAAACAATCTGTTATTACATTTTATCTCCCACATTTAAAGGCAGTTTTTACATAAATATAACCATTATACAGACATATCTCATTTTACGCATTTTATTGCACTTTGCAGATATGGTTTTTACAAATTAAAGGCTTGTGATAACCCTGTGTCTCTCGGCGCCATTTTCCAACAGCGTGTGCTTACTTCATGTCTCTGTGTCATGTTTTAGAAATCCGTGTAATATTTCAAACTTTTTCATTATTGTTATAGCTGTTATGGTGATCTGTGATCAGTGATCTTTGTGTTACTATTGTAATTGTTTTAGGACACCATGAACCATGACCACATAAGATAGAGAGCTTAATCAATAAATCTGCATATTTCGAATGCCCCATTGACCAGCCATTCCCCATCTCCCCTGGCCTATTTCCTGAGACACAAGGATATTGAAATTAGCCCCATTGATAACTCTATAATGGCCCCTAAGTGTTCAAGTAAAAGGGAGAATTGCATGTTTCTCATTTTAAATCAAAAGCTAGAAATGATTAAGCTTAGTGAGGAAGGCATGTTAAGACAGGTTTCTTGCACTATTAAAGGAAATTAAAAGTATTATTCCAGTGAACACACAAATGACAAAATGCAACTTCTGATTGCTGTTATGGAGAAAGTTTTAGTGGTCTGGACAGAAGGTCAAACCAGCCGCCACTTCCTCTAAGCCAGGGACATCCGATCTTTTGACCTTCCTGGGCCGTACTGGAAAAATAATCTTGGGCCACACATAAAATACATGAACACTAACAATAGCTGATGAGAAAAAAAATCTCAAAAACATCTCATAACGTTTTAAGAAATTTATAAATTTGTGTTGTACGGCATTTAAAGGCATCCTGGGCTGCATGTGGCCCATGGGCCAGGGTTGGACAAGCTTTCTGTAAGCCAAAGCCTAATCCAGAGCAAGTTCCTAACTCTTATAAATCCTATGAAGGTCAAGAGAGGTAAAGAAGATGCAAAAGAAAAGTCTGAAGCTAGCAGAGATTGGTTCACAAGGTTTAAGGAAAGAAGCCATCTCCATAATATAAAAGTGCAAGGTAAAGCAATAGGTGCTAATGTAGAAGCTGCAGCAAGTTATCCAGAAAAAGCTATCTAAGATCATGGATGAAGATGGTTACACTAAACAACAGATTTTCACTGTAGACAAAACAGCCTTCTAGTAGAAGAAGATACCATCTTGGACTTTTATAAAGAGAAGTCAATGTCTGGCTTCTAAGCTTCAAAGGACAGGTTGACTTCTTTAGATGGGCTAATATAGCTTTGAATTTAAGCTGAAGCCAACGCTCATCCACCATTCTGAAAATCCTAGGGCTTTAAGGATTATGCTAAATCAAGGTGGGGTGCAGTAGTGCACACCTGTAATCCCAGCACTTTAGGAGGCTGAGGCAGGTGGATCATGAGTTGAAGAGATCGAGATCATCCTGGCCAACATGGTGAAACCCCGTCTCTACTAAAAATACAAAAATTAGCTGGGCGTGGTGGTATACACCTGTAGTCCCAGCTGCTCTGGAGGCTGAGGCCAGGGGAATCACTTGAACCCAGGAAGCAGAGGTTGCAGTGAGCCAAGGTTGTGCCACTGCACTCCAGCCAAGGCCACAGAGCAAGACTCTGTCTCAAAAAATAATAATAATTATTATTATGCTAAAACTGCTCTGCCTGTGCTGTATAAACAGAACAATGAAGCCTGGATAACAGCACATCTGTTTACAGCATGGTTTACTAAATATTTTAGGTCCATTGTTGAGGCAAGACCCTCCCTAAAAAAAAATTACAACTCACTGAGGGCTCAGACGTTTGTCAGCATTTCTTAACAATATTTTTAAATTAAGGTATAAACATCTTTTTTTAGACATCATGCTATTGCATACCTACTAGACTACAGTATAATATAAACATATGTTTTATATGTATTGAGAAACCAAAAAATTTGTGTGACTCACTTTATTGTGATATTTGCTTTATTGCAGTAGTCTGAAACCAAAACCCGTATTTCAGAGGTGTGCCTGTATACACACACACACACATGCACCATTTTTAGCTTATGGTGTTTGAATTTCAAAATGATGGTTTTATGAGAAAAATCAGTATCTTTTATCATTTTATTTGAACCTTGAAGCTATGATGCTATCTACTAATATGAAAATGACTACTGAATTGTATGTGGGAGATAATCTGTGACTTCATCCATGACATTCGAGATGTATTTATTAAGAGACATATTGTGGCCCGGGCGCAGTGTGGGCGCAGTGGCTCATACCTGTAATCCCAGCACTTTGGGGGGTCGAGGTGGGCAGATCACAAGGTCAGGAGTTTGAGACCAGCCTGGCCAATATGGTGAAACCCTGTCTCCACTAAAAATTCAAAAATTAGCTGGGCGTGGCGGCGCATGCCTGTAGTCCCAGTTACTCGGGAGGCTGAGGCAGGAGAATCACTTGAACCCGGAAGCAGAGGTTGTAGTGAGCAGAGATTGCGCCACTGCACTACAGCCTGGACGACAAAGTGAGACTGTCTCAAAAAAAAAAAAAAAAAAGAGAGACATATTGTGATGATTTTGTATTATACTTTGCACCATGCAAATAAGGAACCTTTAGGGCCATATGATTCTAAGGTAGAAAATCTATAGATTTTCAAGCTAACTTTTCACTCTAAATCAGTGGTCCCAACCTTTTCAGCACCAGGGACCGGCACTTTTGTGCAACTTTAGGTCATCAGGTATTAGATGCCTATAAAGAGCATGCAATCTAGATTCCTCACATGTGCAGTTCATAACAGGGTCCACGCTTTATGAGAATCTAACACACCACCGCT